TTTGTATGATAATATGAATACACCCACAAAAATAATAAATAATTTCAATCCTACTGAAGTTGGGACATAACTTGTTAATATTCACCTCTGACTCGTAACAATCCCAACACAGATCCTCTTAATTTGTGAACTTTTTGAATAACCCCCTCAATCTCATGAACCCATTAAAAGGAAGAAAGTCCAGAAACAAAACACTATTCTTGAATCCTTGCAAATAAATATATCTAACATGAAAAAAAAACTGTAAAACAGTCCATCAAACATGTAAAAAATACACAACAAACCCTTAACTTGTACAAATTACAATTCAGTACCCTAAAACTTATAAAATTACAATTCAGTCCTCTAAACTTGTAACAATTACACTTCAGCCCTTTCAAAATCAGTAAATTACACTTTAAAACTTATAAAATCTATAATTACAATTCAGTCATCTAAAACTTGTAAAAATTGCATATCAACCCCCTCAACTCATGTTGAAATTGCAAAACAGTCCAAGAATGCTAAAATTACAAACAATTGCAAAACAGTCGACCAAAATGTTGAGATTGCAAAACAATCCACCAAAAATACTAAAATTACAAACAACCCAACAAAGATGTTGAAAATTGCAAGCAAACCCCTTTCAAAAGATCTGTAAAGAAACTGTAGAAATCAAATTGAGAATTGTTAAGGAATATATTATAGAAATCTATAATATTAGGAATAATACATTAGGAATATGTGATTGAGAGATATTAGGGATATGATTGGATATGATTTTATTTTATACCTATTTTGTAATATCCTCCTAACATCTATTTAAGAGAGGTTAGAGTTAGATGAATAATATATCATCTTGGCCTTTTTCTATTTCTCTACATTGTATCAGAGCTATTCTCTTGATTCTAGAGAGACCTCTTCTTCCTCTACATCGAGCCGCCGAGGGGTTCAGCGAAAACTTTGCGCTTCGCCTTGACGACCTCGACATTGGATTCAACCTTGACGCACCACTCCATCACTCACTACCTATGCTCGCAGCAAAACCCTAGCCTAATCTCACTACTTTGCAAAATAATATTGTTAATCCACGAGTATTGTTCATTGGTAGCAGCATTGTTCAGCCTTAGTTATTGTTCATTATAGATGCTGTCATGGTACTGTTTATCTAGAGTGCTGTTCAGCGCGAGTTGTTCATTTGGACCGTCAATCACCTTCATGCCATAAATCCTCGCCTTCGATGATTGATCTCTCCTAGATCTCAAGGATTCGATCTCGTCCTCATTGTCAACCTCTACCTTCTTTTCGATCTTTGCTCAAGCTCAAAGTCAAACGCCACCATTTGTTTGTCGTATCCTTAAAGAAAGATCATTTGTTGTTATATCCTTCAAGAAAGAATCATTTATTGTTGGATCCAGTAAAGAATCATTTGTTATTTATTGTTGGATCCTGAAAAGGGTTATTTGTTGTTGGATCCTTAAAGAAAGATCATTTGTAGTTGGGTCCTTCAAGGAAAGATCATTTGTTGTTAGATCCTGAAAAGGATCATTTGTTGTTGAATCCTGAAAGGATTATTTGATTGATGGAGTCCTAGAGGGGATTAGCTAATTTGAAGACATCCAAATAAAAAATAAGATCATATTACTTCGAGGCATCGTCATAGATTAGAGTGTGTGCACTTTATTTGTATCAAGCTGGACATATATGATATACATGCTCTAGCTTGAGAGGGAGTGTTAATGAATATATTGCAAAAATCTATAATATTAAGAATAATAGATTAGGAATATGTGATTGAGAGATATTAGGGATATGATTGGATATGATTTTATTTCATACCTTTTTGTAATATCCTCCTAACATCTATTTAAGAGAGGTTAGAGTTAGATGAATAATATATCATCTTGGCCTTTTTGTAATATCCTCCTAACATCTATTTAAGAGAGGTTAGAGTTAGATGAATAATATATCATCTTGGCCTTTTTCTATTTCTCTACAAACATCTATTTAAGAGAGGTTAGAGTTAGATGAATAATATATCATCTTGGCCTTTTTCTATTTCTCTACAAGAATAGCTAAAAGTTACAAAATTAATCCAAGATAATAAATAATTGCTAGTCAATCATATCAACCTCTATGTCACTAAACCAGAACACAACCAAATCTAGTTGACCATTCCGTTGTGAAATCCAAATCAAATCCATCTAATAGTAAAGTCCTCTCCCTGTTAGAAAAATCTAAATCACATTTATCCGCTATTAGAAAAAAAATTCAAATCAAATCTATCTGATAGGAAAGTCCTCTCTTAGAAAAAAAATCCATATCAAATTTATCTAACAGGAAAACTCAAATTCAAACAAAATTCATCTAATAAGAAAGTTCTGTCCTCATTCAAAAAATCCAAATCAAAGTAATCTGCAATCTATCAGGAAAGTCCTCTCCCAGTTAAAAATCCAAACGAAATCCATCTAACAAGAAAGTCCCTACTCATTAGAAAATGCAAATTCATCTACTTGGAAGTCCTCTACCAGTTAGAAAATTCAAACCAAATTCATCTAATGAGAAAGTCCTGTCCTCGTTAACAAAATCCAAATCAAATCTATCTAACAGGAAAGCCCTCTTCCTCTTAGAATATGCAAACTAAATCAATCTAACAAAAAAGTCCTTTACTCGTTAGAAAATTCAAATTCATCTAATAAGAAACTCCTCTCACCATTAGAAAATCCAAATTCAAATTTATCTAATAGGAAAGTCCTCTCATTGCTAGAAAAATTCAAATCAAATTCATCTAATAGGGAAGTCCTCTCCTCGTTAGGAAATTCAAATCAAATTCATCTAATAGGAAAGTCCTCTCCCCGTTAGGAAATTCAAATCAAATTCATCTAATAGGAAAATCCTCTCGCTGCTAGAAAAGACAAATTAAATCCACTTGATAAGAAAGTCATCTACTTATCATAAAATTTAATCAAAACCAAAATAAATTTATATGATAGGAAATTCCTCTCCTTGTCAAGAAACCAAAACCATTTTTACCCTATTTTAATAAAAAATCAAAAGATATCTATTTGCAAATTCTTAATACATGTAACCCATTAATCAGAGGTTGCTTTGGTCCAACCCAAAGGGTAATTAACAATAGGCATTTAAGTCTATTATAGATATCAAACCCCACATTTAATAAACCTCAACTTCTTTTAGAGGGGATCTTAGGGAACCATCACAAAATATAAAACTATTTGTTTTCCCGTATGTCCTAAGGGATAACTCATTTAGGGTGTGATTTGTGACCCTACAGAGTCAGGTGGTTGAAATTGTAGTGATTGAAGATCAATTGTTACAAAATTAAAATCAGACGGCTAGTTATAGTAAATCAAACGGCTAAAATGATCAAGCCAGCAAAGCATATATTACAAGCTAAAATCAGACGGCTAGCTATAGTACTCAAACAGCTGGATATGGGATTAGGCAGTTGGCTACAGTAAATCAAATGGCTAAAATGATCAAGGCAGCAACACATGTTACAAGCTAAAATCAGACTGCTAGCTGTGGTACTCTAGCCGACTGGTTATAGTAAACAGCCGGCTAGATACAGTAAGCAGCCAGCTGGTAACGAATTTTCAGCAATGTTGTTTTGTTTTGAGAGGTGCAATTAGGATCGTCTATCGAGATAACTAAGGATCATTCATCGGGATAACTATGTATCATCTCTAGAATTGTTTTTCTACAGAATTAGAGGAGAAAAATTACAGAGATAAGGGGCTCTATTGAGAGAGAAAAGGAGAAATACTTTTAGAGTTTGAAGGAGAGTCCCTTCAACCGTCGCCACCGTCTCTCGGCCTCTCGGATTTCGTGCACGTCCTCAAAGCTGTTTGTAGCATCCTATCGGATTCTTCGTGGGGTGCAGCTAGTCCTAATTTCATCATTGACGTTGTTCTTCCAACTTCAACTCAAATCCTTCTAAGAACAGTTTGCAATTAAAAGGGCTGTAAGATCTTTCAGTTTTGCGCTTAATCGATATAGTTTTTCTTAAACACTTGGTTTACAATCATGTGATTGGTTGGTTTTGTATGGCGTACTCAAGCCAATACTAAGTGAGGAATTGGAAATAGTAGCTAGGGCTAAGGTATTCACTTGTACGGTAGGATTTGTTGGCAGAGACGACTAGATTTGGGTTAAGTCTAGGGTGCGGTCTTGTAACTGCTTATTAGATTGGGATGTGATCCAGGAGTTCCTTCATACTAAAGTGGGAGCCCCTCCCAATGAGGAGAAAGAGTGGATGTAGAGTTTATCCGAACTACTATTAAAATCTTGTTTATTTGTGTTGATTGTGTGGTTGCTTTAATTTATTTTAATTCTGCTGCATATCTGTGATAATTGCTTTTATTGTCGAAAAAGTGTGCAACACATTCCAACCCCCCCTCTAGGCTAGCATCTAGATCACAACACTATCTTACACCTCTCAGATAATTAGTTGTCTTGTTTATTTCGCATCCCAAAGGATACACCTTCTCTTAATCTCAAGTTACGCTATCTCCAACTTCTTAAGATTACATTAATTTCATACCCTTCATGCACCACCACTCATTCTTCTCAACATACTTATTTTGAGCTTCACTAATTTATTTCAGAACATATCTCCAAATTATCTACTATGGTCACCCATAAAGAGTAGCTGCTTATATGTTGTTTTGCTAAATATTTCCGTTCCGTATCATGGGTAACCTATTCCAATGGTGAAGTAATGCTCCATAGGCACTTGTTCTCTTCATCTATCACACGTGATGATCTTACAAACAGAAGGCTTGTCAACTCAACATCATGAATATCATGAATTGTTTCTCCTGAGAAATAAAGGTCATACTTCTTAGGTATTTATCAGTCATGAATAGTCCAAAGCAAAACAAATTTCAAACAGAGAAGCTATTACAATGGTGCAGTGCATATGGACAAGAAGATATGTATTTCTTCTCAATATCAATATTCCCGTAATTTTAAGCAAAAGAATGAGATGGAGGAGTCACCTGCCATCAAGCGTGGCATCAAACACAAAGGAAACTAGATAGTGATCGGGGTTCTGGTGATCTAGCGCGAGGCGGACAGTGTCCTTATGGACGTTGACATCATTCCTGACGGTCTTGGCCTCCTGCTGCTCCACATACTGAGGAGGAGGAGGAGGAGGCATCAAAGAAGAGGACGAGGAAGCGGGGGAAGGGGAGGGGACCCACCGGCTACCATTCCCCTGAATTTGATTAGGGGGTCCATAATAATAGTAGTGAGGTTGTTGTAGCTGCTGTTGTTGGGGATTTCGGCCGACCAAGGTATCGAGGAACCTGAGGAGGGTGTTGTAGCCGGCAGCTAGTTGGTAGGAGTAGGAATTGGTATTGTTACTGTAAGGAGGAGGAGGAGGGGGGTTAGGATGGTAGTAAGAGGGATTGGAGGAATAAGGATAGCTTGTTGCCGGAGGAGGAGGAGGAGGAGGAGGAGAGGAGTATGGTTGTTGTGGGTAATTGTTTCCTCTTCTTCTCCTTTGGCTGCTTGATGACTGACCCATGACTGAGTTAATTGCAGAGGAGAGCAAAAGAGGAAGGAGACGGTGTTTTGCGTTCGGGCTGGAATCTTGGGAGGATTTGTGGAAGGAAGGAAGGAAGGAAGATCAATCAGAGGGTTGCTTGCTGGGGAATTAATTACCAGATCTTCGTCGTGGGGCCTGTGTCAACTCCGGAGAACTTTAACAGTTGAATTTGAAAGTAAAAATACCGCATGCTTCTGTATTGACGTCGCCGGTAGTTTTTTCTACGGTTATTTGCACATGTACCCCCTTCGTTCATGAATACTTATATGGACACCCTTGACATATTAATATTTACAAAACTCCCCCTCAAATAATTAATTTTGAAAAAAAGTTACCCTTAAAGCAATTAACCACCAACGTTGACAAGCTAGAATGTGATCACAATGTAAAAATTATCAACAAAATAGTCAAATTCTCAGCACCGGGTTGATGCTTTGTTGATCTAGAGGTATTTTCTCAACATAGTTAACGATTTGAGGGATAGCGTTGCAAACGCTAAGATTTGGGAGGTATTTTGGCACATATTCATGATATAAGGGGGTATATATGCAAATAACTTTTGCCTTAATTGCACTTTGGCACCAAAGTTCCGTCTAAATTGAACTTTAAGGCCCCCTGGGTTTTACTTTTCCCAATTGACACCCTAGTCTTTATTAAAAGGCCCCCCAATCTCCCATTTAACACCCCTAATCTTTATTAAAAGTCCCCCACTCTCCTTGGAAAAGAAAGGGAAAAAAAAGTCCATGGCCTAACCTTGAATGATCTGGAAGCAGCTGGACCTGGCTGGCGGCGGCGGGCGCGCAGCTGAGGCGGTTGGATGCGGTCGATGGAGGAGTTTGGAGAGGTTTTATGTGAATCAGGAGAGGAGGTGTTTGGAGGGTTTATTAGGGTTTTTAATGGTGGGGGAGAATTTGGAGGAGAACCCCGTGAGAGTTCTTTCGGGGAGAGAGAGAGAGAGAGAGAGAGAGGGGAGATTGGTGAGGGATAGAGAATTAATTTACGGGGGTTATTTCAGTAATTTGGTTGGAAACTTTCGGGGGGTAGTAAAGGTGAAATCAAGCTTTTGTTGTTGGGTTATACTGCTAAACGACAGGAATCCTTACCAGGGTGGGCGGAGTCGTCTTTGACTTCCTGATCGGCCGTCTCCTTCCTTCGTCTTCCCTCTAGCCAGCTACAACCCTCAACATTTCCTCTCTCCCTCTCTAGATGGGGAAAAGATCAGTGAACTACGCCGTGGTAGATTTCTAACCTCTCTCTCTCTCTCTTCTCACTTGTCTTGTGTATTTCTTTCTTATTATTTTAGCACTCGAGCAAATAATGAATGGGCTTTTTGTCAGATCGATGCGTTCACGGACGCTCCATTTAAGGGAAACCCGGCAGCCGTTTGTTTCTTGGAGAAACACGATTATGGTTATGATGATGAGTGGATGCAATCGGTGGCCAAAGAGTTCAACATCTCTGAAACCGCCTTTTTGACTCCTGCCCCTCATCATTTCAGCAGCCATGAGGATGATGGCGAAGATGCCGATTCCAACCCAAGATTCAACCTGCGCTGGTTCACGCCCGTTGCGGAGGTAAAAAAAACGCACGGTTCCTCCTCCTCCTCCTTATGTTCTTTTAAATTTTTTAGTGTAATAAATAATGAGTTCAAATGTATATTGCGTCGTCCCGTTTATAGGACAAATTTTCAAAACCAACCCCTTTCCCTATTTATTTTCAAAAAACGACCGCTTTTGCAAAAAATTTCAAAAACCTACCCGGTTTCAGCGATGTCGCTGAAACCAGGTCGGTTTTTGAAAAATTTTTTACGAAACTTCACGGGAGTTCAACTCCCGTGAAGTTTAGCACATTTTTAAACTGAACTCCCGTGAAGCTTAATTTGTTCAAAAATCTTCACGGGAGTTGAACTCCCGTGAAGATTTACACACACAACTTTACGGGAGTTGAACACCCGTGAAGTCTATTGGAGGGTTAAAAACTCCACGGGAGTTGAACTCCCGTGGAGTTACAGGCCAAATTTTCCAGAGAATCGCTCTCTGGAAAATTTGTCCTGCAGCTTCACGGGAGTTCAACTCCCGTGAAGCTGCAGGTTTTTACAAAACAAGGCTGCCGTGCTGTGCATGTTTTGCATACATCTACCTATTTAACTCATATATACAACTATTTACCTGTTAACAACAATTACTATAATATATATATGATTTAAACACACACGAATCAAACAATACTCAAAAAGATCACATATCGAGCTATAATTGATCCACAAAAGTATAGTATTTGAAAATTCATACAAGTTACAAATTTTAACAAAATAAGTTCAAATACAACCCAATATAGCTCCTCTCCTTCCTCTCCCTCTCTTCCCCCTCCCCCTCGCTCTTCCCCGCCCCCTGTGGTCCTGCTGATGAGCCTCGACTATCTGAGTATTCGGCTGTGTATGAGGCTGAGAAGTGTCGGCTCCATCAGCATGCGAAATGTCGACTCCATCAGCATGCGAAGTGCCGGCGTCATCATCACGTGGCCGTCGGCGCCGAGTGTACGTCTGCCCAAATGATCGAGACCTGTCCTCATGGCCTGTGAACTCGTCAACATGAGTCTTATGAAACACCTACGCTATGGTCTTCTTGATCCTGCTGAGGAGTCTTAACGCCACCTGATCCTGAATCTCAGGCACGGTCGCATCAATATCAGCCTCAATGCTATCAAAAGCACGGACCTGTGAGGTAAACAATTTATTAAGTACCAACTCAAGAAAAAAATATTATAATGCTATCAAAAGCACGGACCTGTGAGGTAAACAATTTATTAAGTACCAACTCAAGAAAAAAATATTATAACTTAGCTTAGAAACTTACGTAATCTCTCTCGTTCATCCCATTAGGGATGTAACTGTCTGTCGGTGGGCGTGACATGTGTCCAGCTGATTGCTATGGGTCACGTGTGATCCATCTACGTGTGATACCCCAATACCAACGTATATACGCGGTATAGTCAACAGCTGTGGGCCTCGTATTCTGGATGAAATCTCACCTGTGAGCCCACCTGTCTATGTAGGCCGCACGGACTATGACCCAGTCGGTATGGTGCGAAGTAGGTCACCGCCGACGATTGATCTGCTCGACAGGATCTGGCACATGCTGAGAGAGCGTAAACTGTCGTGGCACACGGTCAGGGACATGCATCTCCACGATATAATGTGAAATCCTCGCACCACCTTGTAGATCAGAACAAGCCGCGACAACATGTGAACAATGAATCCATTGTAATTACGGTACATTACAAGTGCACGTACACGTGTGATCCACTAACATGTTAACTTTGTAAGAGCGATTTTTTCTATGTGATATTCCCTCAATGACCTCACATTCATTAAAACTGTATCTTACGACATAAAAGGATCGAGCTTGCACAATTCGAGCCGCTAACATTTCATCATTCTTCGATGTGAGCTTCGAGCGAATATTTTCACCAAGTTCGCGACGTCGTAGAAAGAAGTTATTAAGTCTGTAGAATGTTTTAGCAACTAGTGACTGTATTGGCATACCGCGTGCTCCCCTGAGCACGTCATTGAAACTCTCTGAAGCGTTCGTAGTCATCATACAGAACCGTCTCCCGCCATCTTCACATAAATCCCATTTATCAACATTGTGTGATCCCAAACTAGTTTCGATCCAATCATGTGCAGCTCGAGAAATAAACTTAATCCTCTCTCGTATTTGGTCATAAACTAATTTTTCTGTTGCACAGCCGACTTGCCACAGAAGATCTTGAACCTGACCGTTTTCATATTTCTTCTTGAAGTTGTCCCTAATATGTCGCAAGCAATAACGATGTGCATGTGGTGACGGGAAATAACGTTCGAGTGCTCTTGGAATTCCTTTCATCCTATCAGATATGAATATAATCGGCCGCGCCCCCACACTAGGGATACGATATCTAATGCATGTAAAAAACCACGCCCAATTCTCTGTGTTTTTAATATCAACCACTGCAAATGCCAAAGGAAACAAACCGTCATCCGCGTCAACTCCGATGGCAACAAGCAAAACGCCTTTGTACTTGCTGTGTAAGTGGGTGCCATCAATGCTAAGAAGAGGACGATAATATTGGAAACCCTCAATACAAGGCCCAAATGCCCAAAATACACCCGTAAATCGTCGTTCTTCGTCATCAAGAGGGTCTGATGAAACTTCATATACAATCCCAGGATTTTCTCTTTTGAGTGCTTCAAGATAATGCGGTAAGATCTCATAAGATTTGTCCCAATCCCCAAATATTTTTATCATCGCCTTCCTCCTAGCATTCCAACACTTATTGTATAATACATCCAAGTTGATCGCTTTATACACTAAAAGACGAATATCTTTCGACCGTAGATCAAGATCCTACATCCAAGTTGATCGCTTTATACACTAAAAGACGAATATCTTTCGGCCGTAGATCAAGATCCTCCCTCAGATACGGTAAAATCAATCGATATATAAAAAAAGAGGACGCATGCTTGTTATTCATCTTCAATCGAGGATTGCTACATGTGTGGACTCCATTGTACGTTGTGATTTTGAAATGCCCACCAACTCTTACACCCGAACGTGAATTAAGCTTCCAAGGACAATTCGCATTCCCGTCGTAGTGTCCATCAAGATCATCATCTTCATCTTCATCATCTTTACGATAAAAACAAACCGTATTATAGCTTGTTGTGTTATTTTTTGTTGGCCTAAACTTGATATTTTTTACAATGGCATACGAACGAAGCGCATGGATCAATTTCTCCTTACTCTCATAAAGATCTCCCTTCACGAATGAGAAGTCCTCGCCCTGTGTATCATGACCGCTATTAGTGCCAATAGGAACACTTTCCATCACGGAGTTATTAATCCATTCTTCTCCTTGAAGTTCATCGGGCGGCGGATCCTCTAAGATAACATACTCATTATTAGCATAACACCCGTCAATGTGGTGGTTGTCCCCTTCATCACGATCTATCAAGGTCATGCTATTAATTTGTAAGCCCTCCTCTTCATCATCATTCTCAGATTCAACACTTGCATTATCTTCTTGAACTCCCGTGTTAGTATCGACCACATTCGAAGTGCCCACAAACGAAGGACCGCACATATATTATGATTGTGTCCAACCTTCATCTTGTTGAGGAGATAAAAAGCCAACGAAATCAACATCAGGGTCCTCCAACATGCGGGAATACATTCCGTCATAATTCAACGATTTGTCCAAATTCCTTTGATGTTTTTCAATGAACAATTCGATCGAACGCTTCTCGTCATGTAAGACTCCAATGAGACTCATATCGTAGTCGCTTGATATTTGAATATCGCTTGTCCCGTTCTCCATAACAGGATAATTACAAATAACATTGAGGTGATACTCACGTGAGTTGGTTAATGTAAGTTTGTGTAATTCATTAACCAACTCATCGAAAGTACACGATTTTGTTATAAACAACGGTCTCGTCGCACCTTCATAAATGGGCTTATTATTTTCGAGGTAGTTAATCTTCTTATCATACGAACACAAAATTACGATTCGATCGTTCATCATTACCTCTGAAGAGTAAAACATTCAAGATCAATATTACACGAAAAGACTTTAATAATTTATCGTTACTTACCATTAAATCCTATATCAATTTTAGGGAATCATAATTTTACCCAAATTCATATACCGATGTCATACATATGTAGTAACACTAATTTTTTTATTTTTTATAATTTTACCTCCAAATCCACAAAATTATTTACTTTTTCTTCACAAAATTCATAAATTATTCACAATTTAATTCTAAAATCTAATTGATGTCATATAATACTAATTTTTATATTTTTTATAATTTCACCTCCAAATCCACAAAATTCACAAAATTATGTAATTTTTCTGAGCAAATTTCATAAATTATTCACAATTAAATTCTAAAATCGACAAAATTATTGATAACACTATTTTTTAAAATCAATTAGATGTCATACATATGTAGTAACACTATTTTTTACATTATTGATAATTTACCCTCTAAATCGACAAAATTATTTAAGTTTTCTTCATAAAATTCATAAATAATTCACAATTAAATTCTAAAATCTAATTTTTTTACATGTAATCACCATGAAATAGTGATAAAATACAAGAAATTAAGAGAATAAATAATTTTGGGAGGAATTTACCTTAAATCTGTCGAACTCCGGCGACAACGGCGGGGGGGGCGGGGGGGGGAAGGTGCCGACGGTCGGAAATGGGGGGAGGCGGTCGGAAGTGACCTGGCCGGCGGCGGTTGGGACGAGGGAGAGGGCTAGGGTTTGGGGCGGCGACGTGAGAGAGAAGTGAGATCGGGAATGATACGTGCGCGCTTATATAGGGGTGGCCGAAACTCCACGGGAGTTGAACTCCTGTGGAGTTACAGGCCAAATTTCCCAGAGAATCGCTCTCTGGAAAATTGCCTGTAACTCCACGGGAGTTCAACTTCCGTGGAGTTTATTCACGAAATTAAGCTTCACGGGAGTTGAACTCCCGTGAAGTTTAAAAATATGCTAAACTTCACGGGAGTTGAACTCCCGTGATGTTTCGTAAAAAAAATTCAAAAACCGACCTGGTTTTAGCGACAGGGCTGAAACCAGGTCGGTTTTTGAATTTTTTTGCAAAAACGGTCGTTTTTTTGAAAATAAATAGGGAAAGGGGTTGGTTTTGAAAATTTGCCCCCCGTTTATAAGAAAAATCCCAATTGCTAGTGAAATCAGACACTGTGGGAAGTTAGTTTAACATAATAAGACTGACCGGGCGAGGGTCATGAAAAGAAAGGTATTCGCTGGTCTTGCTGCAAGAAGTTACGTGACTCACAACATTTGCTTGCAATGAGAGGGAAGGACTCAGAGCAATTAACTTCAGCATGCCTTTTAATAACTCACAATGTTAGTTCCCAGTGAGGCAAACCTCGAGAAATTAATTTTGATAATTCATTTCATCCTGAATACACATCCGACATTGGATGTTAAATCAAAGTTGCATGGTAC